CCCCGCGGAGCCCGAGCGCCCCCAGCGGTGCGCCCACCCCGGGCCAGAACAACCTCAACCGGCCTGGACCCCAGCGCGCTACCAGCGTGAGCGCGCGTGCCTCCATCCCGCCAGGGTAAGAGGGGCCCCTGGCACGGGGGTGGCTGCCCAGCAGGGCCAGGGGCAGAGAACTGCAGAGATGGCAATAATCCTGATCTGTTAAGTAGTCCCTTTGTGCCAAGCGTTAACGAAGCACCTTAATGTGTCCCCGCTCATTTGCCTGCACACACCAGGACCCATGAGGTAGGTGCCATTGTCATCCCCAATGGGCAGAGGAAGACCCCGATGGGGGAGGGTCCGCAGCTTCCCAGGATCACGCAGTTCACAAGTGGTGGGGCCGTAGCGGCGACAGTAAGGGCGTGTATTCCCCCTCTCGTTTATTACTCCACATAATTCTGTCGTGCCCAGGTGACAGATGGAGAAGCTGAGGCGGGAGAGGAGTGGTGCCTTCTGAGGGTCGCCCAGGTGGAGAGCGGGGACTGAAACAGACCCGTGTGGGATTCTAGTCTGTGTTGTATTGTCTTCGAAGTTTTGGAGGGTTTCCGCCCCCTGCCCCAGTCCATGCCCGTCTGGCGTGGAGGCTTCAGCGAGCACCAGCCGCTCATCCAAAATATTTCCCCCATAGGCCTCCCCTGAATTATCGCCATGACTTTGAGCTAATACGACTGTGTTTTTCAAACTGGGCTCTGGGGACTCCTGGGGCGAGCTGAGATAGTGGCAGGAGAGGGTGATGGATGAGAGAAGTCAGGCACCCAGGAGCCGGCCTGTTGCTCCTGTTTTAACCTGAGCGGCCCTTTTTGGAATCTTATGAATTAACAGGATTTCCCAGTGGGATTTCCTTGAGGAAGGGAACTGGGGGTTACCAAGAGTGGAAATCCTTGGATTAAGGCATCGAAGTCCCGGGATAGCGACCCAGTGTGCCTGTCAGCTGCTCGCCCAGACTCAGTTTCAGCGGAGACCTGGCCCCGAGGAAGTGGGAGTGAGAGGGAGGAGCGAAGCCTTGACCTTGGGACAGCCCAGAAGGGAAAAGACCAGGTGGAGTGTGGGTCGTGATACTGACGAGCAGGGGCAGGCGCCAAAAGCCAGCTCTGCTTGTATCACTGCAGCCTGGCCCAGGGCACTGACCGTGACGACCTGAGACCGGCAAAGGTCGTATCTGGATATAATCTTTGAGGTCACCTCATGCAGGCCTCCCCTTTCACCAAGGGAAACTGAGGCCTTGGGAAGGGAAGGGACCCCCAAGTAGGGTGCCTTCTGTCCGTTTTTGAGAGTCTGCTTAGATTCAGATCTCCTCTCGGCCACTTCTGAGCTGTGATATCTGGGGCTCCCTTCGTGGAGCCTCATTTTCATCATCTGTGAAATGGGTGCAGGAACCCCCATCATGTGGAGAGGCTGTGTACCTGAAGGTAGCGGCTACACATAACTGCGGTTCAGCGGTGACAGTGAGGACTGGTTTTGTTATCTGGGAGGAAGGTTGGTATGGGGTACAGGGGTGTGTAACTTTCCATGGGAAGATCAGCAGCTGCCACCTGCCTGCCTCACCCTTCCCTTCCCCTCCAGGCCACTCCCCTGGGGCAGGCCCAGTGCCAGCAGAGAGGAGACCTCAGGAGGTCGAGAGGGCCTCTCCGGGAAGTGTTGCAGGAGGGGCTCACCCTCCTGGGGATCCGGAGGCTGGAGTGTTTATTATGGCTCCTTGTGGATAGCAACCTGGCTCCGGCTCCCTGATGAAAAGGGGGGGCTGGAGGGCCCCAGGATGGCAGAGTGGACAACAAACTGGAGTGGGTGTGGGAGGGGCAGAACCAGGAGAGTTCTGGGGACCTCTGCAGCAAGAAGCTGAGAACCTTCTCTTTCGGGCTGTATTGTTGTAACCCACTAGTAGATTGTGAAATCGGAAGGTTGTGACCAGAATTTTCTGGGAATGGAACGGAATAGCGTAGAGTAGAAAATGCGGGTAACGGTAAGAACTGTTCCGTGAACCTTTTGCATCGTTTCTACGTGTTTGATGGGTTGCCAGGTGAAGTGAATCTCTCAGTTGCTGATGAAATTTGTGAAAGTCACTGTTTTAGAGCAGGCTGGGAATTACTCAGCTTTTATTACTCGGTACTAATTCTCCAGACATGTACTATGGGTGCGGGTTCACAGAGCGAACAAGACAAACAGGGTCCAGACTGATGGGGAGACAGACGTAGAGGAATTAAATGAGTAAATGAACACAATCACTGCACAGAGAGGGAAGTGCTAGGGATGTTGTGGGATGGGGCAGTGTGGCTGAGCGGGAATGGGGTGGTCAGGGCAGACTCCTCTGAGGAGGCAGCCAGATCTGCAGAAAGGCTGTTCCAGGCAGAGGAAACAGCATGCATAACTTCAGTGGGGTTAGGACATGGCACATTCAGGGGAGGGCTAGAGGTATGAGGGGATCTGGGATGTGAGAAGGGGAAGGGTACCCTAGCCAGGGGCACTGTGCATGGAAAAGGTGGAGGTGGGACTGAATCCAGCAGGCTCTGGACACCACGCAGGGGAAGAGTTCCCTGCTAGAACATTGGGGGCTGAGGTTTTTCCCAAGTGGAACTACTGAGCCAGATTGTGGAGCGTTAGGGGAGCCTGGGCTTGGTGCTGCCAGCAGTGGGGAGCTATAAAGTGTCTTGAGCTCAAGAGGCCTTGGGGTGCTGATCATTAAACATGTCCCCTATGACATACCAGAATTCCCTTCTCCCCAGCCATGTGCCCCCACCCGGTCTATATCTTTCTGTCCCTTCTCCCCTTGGGAGCTGTTTTTGACCCTCTGAGACCAGACATTGTCCTGGAAAGGGGGAGTAGGGACTGACAAGGGCTCCCTTATCCCTCCCTAAGGCCTCCCTCATCCCTTCCTAGACATGCAGACCCCACCCAGTTTCACCTCTGCCCCTCTAACCTACCCTCCCCAGCGAGACAAGCCTGTGTCAAGGTCCCCCAAACCTCATCTCCAAGGAATGCCAACCCAAAATACTCTTGGCTCAGGGGGCAGGCGCAGGACCCCCGAAGCCTGCTGCTGAGTGAGAGGAGTGGGAGGAAGGCAGGATGGGGGTGGCAGACCCTGGTTCCTCCCAGCTGAAGCTTCCTGTTGCTGAGGCAATCGAGCCCCAGGTGCAGCCAATGAGGGGATAGGGTTAGGGTCTCTGAGGAGCCAGGCAGCCAGGCTCCTACCCCCGCTGTGGTCCCCAACACCCCCAGAACCCTCGTGGCCCCTCCCACAGTCTCCGCCAGTCATGCTGGTTAGGGCCTGTCCTAGTGACCTCATTGGAATCCCTTCTGCAAAGACCTGTCTCCAAACTGTCTAGGGACTGGGCGTTAGGAACTCAACAAGACGCGGTCTGGGGAACACAATTCAACTGCGAACAGTCTCTGTAACTCCCCTTCCATATCTGAGTCTTGGTCTCTTTCTGTGTATGTCTCTCTGTCTCCCCGTCTCTGTCTGTCTGTCTGTCTGTCGCCCCTTTTCTCCCACGTTTTCCTTCTCAATTCTCTCTCCCTTCTGCTCCCTTCTCTCNGCCCCTTCTCTCCCACGTTTTCCTTCTCAATTCTCTCTCCCTTCTGCTCCCTTCTCTCCACCCTCCCTCTCTGCCAAGCAGGACTCAAACAGGCCCAGAGTCCAGGCCTCTCGCCTTCCTTTCCCAGCTGGGTGACCTTGAGCAAACAGCTTTCCCTCCCTAGCCTCAGTTTCCCCATCTGCCAAACGGAGCTCAAACCACCACCATTCACACGTGAATTTAAAATCATTCAAAATCATTGCGTGTGATCAGATGGAAGAGAGGCGTGGACTCTTTAGAGGGCTCCGAGTCCGTTCTCACACCCCACCCTCGCCTCAGCCCAGGGTACGCAACAGCGTGGAGGCCCAGAGAGACCCACTGACTTGCCCAAGGCCACACAGCCAGTGGGGGCAGAGTGTCTCCATGGTTGGGGTTTTTTCCACTGGCCCCCGTGACAGGGCGGGGAGCCAGCTGGCAACCGAGGCCTGGGGGACACGCAGGGGTGGGGAAGATCCGCCCTGTCTCCCGAGAGGGCAGCGTCCAGCACTTTGGAACACAGCTGCGGGGCAGACTCAGAGTTTCCACCCCACGTGGCGAAGGGGAGAGGGAAGGGACAGCTGCAGGCCTGTTTTTCTGTACTGAGCACTCACATGTCATCATGTGAGCTCCGTGCTGGGGCTTTTACATACATCGCCTCTTTTAACTCCCACAGAAACCCAAGGGGGCAGGTCCTGTTGTCCCCATTTTTCATGTGAGGAAACGGAGGCTCCCGGAGTCTAGCGCTTGCTCCAAGTCACACAGTTAGGACTCTAGTTCAAAATCCCCCCATCAGCCAGGGTATTGGGGTGTCCAAGTTTCTAGCCATGGTCCCAGAGACCCTTCCTCCCTGCCCCCCGTGGCCCTGATTCCACAGGGTGTCGGGCCCTGGAGCAGAGGCTGAGTTTGGGCCCTGCTTCAACACCTCTCCCTGTGTGACCCCAGCTGAGCTCACTGCCCTCTCTGGTGCTCAGCTTTTGCACCTGTGAAGTGAGGCTGACAACACAGGCCACTGTCCAGCTTGAGGCCAGATGTCCAAGTGGCACTTTCAAGTCTGCGCCATTGACATCCACTCTGGAGCAGCGGAAGAAGGGTGCTCCTCTCTCCCTCCCTGTCGCCAGCCTCATCGGTGCCATCGAGATGCAGTTTGAGTTTCCATAGCCCAGGTTCTTCCTGAGCCTGAGAACCTCTTCCTGTTTCCTGCACAGAGTGCGTCCTCCTTTTGTCAATTACTTGTTTATTTCCTTTGCTTGCCCTTCTCCTGTTTGGGGCCCTGCAAATACAATGAACAAAACTGACCACCCCTGCCACCCTGGAGCTCACGCTCTAGTGAGAGACTAACAATAAACGAAATAAATTCTAGAATATGGTAAAGTTGTGACTGCTACAGAGTAAAAATAACGGAAAGAAGGGGTGTAGGGAGTGGTGGGAGGGATGTAGTTTTCAAGAAAGAGGTCAGAAAAGGCCTCCCTGAGAAGGTAACATTTGAGCAAAGACTGAAGGGGGTTGAGAAGCACTCCATTCACAGAACTGGGGTGAGATTTCCAGGCAGAGGGAACAGCCTGTGCAAAGGCCCTGGGGCAGAAGCGCGGCTGGTATGTTGGAGGAGGCCAGTGTGGCTGACGAGGCTGCAGGGGGCGAGCAGTGGGAGAGGAGGTCAGAGATGAAATGGGGCCAGTCCTCCAGAGCCCTGAGGGCTGCGTTGAGGCCTTTGGCTTTTACTTGTGAGTGAGACGGGAGCCGGCAGAGTTGTGAGCCGGAGAGAGACTGGTGTCACTTTGTTGTAACAGGGTCACTGGATATTGAGAAAAGCCTGCAGGTAGGGCTGAGGCAGGAGGCAGGAGCCGGTGGGCAGGTGGGCTTTGATGTGGTGGGTGTGTTTGAGTGTTTTCCTTTTTGTTTTGAATTTCTAGCAGTGATTTTTACGTTTTTACTTCAAAGAATCCACATTCTGTTTCTGCAGTTCTTTAATAGGTGTTACATCTAAATGCTTCAAAAATAAAAATAAAAAAGACGGCTGAAAAGCGCAACATGAAAAGTCTCACCCTCACCGTGTCCCTCTGGCCTGCCCGCCCTCCCCCTTTCCCGGCTCCAGGGTGTGCAGTGTCTGTAGCTCATCTGCCTGCTGTTTCCCCACCACCTCATCACGAGGTCAAACCAAACACCCCACCCCACCCGCAAACCTGAAGCACTTCCTGCCCCGCTCCCTGGGAGGCCAAACCACACACCCCTGTCTGCAGGAGGCCACCCCAGGCCGTGGGAACCGCCAGCCCGGTCCTCCCCTCCCCTCTCCTCTCTTCCACACTAGGCTCCCCTCACAGAGCGCTGCACTGGGCAGGCTGGGAAACCAAGAGGGCAGGGGAGAGTGCCACTGAGCCCCAGGCCTCTAGAAAATCTGACCCCCAAGTGACAACCATCCCTCCAAATGTATCCCTGGGGGACTTTTGCTCTCTTTCATCCCTAGGAGTGGATGGAGGCAGGGGTGAGAGGTCCTGTTTGACAGAGGGGGAACTGAGGCTTGGCCAGGCAGACGGGTGCTGGAGCATGGAAAGGGGAAGTGAGCGAGGCCTCCAGACAGCAGCCAGACACTTGTGCATTTCACTGGATCCATGGGGCACCCAGTCTCCCCAGAGCTGGTGGTAATGTCCTCAGGCTTCTGGGTTCTGCAGAGAGGTGGAGGTGGGGACTTAGTTAGCCCTAGGACTGTAGAGAGCAGGGGTTCAGGTGCAGGCGGAGTTGGCACCAAAAGGGGACAGGGGATAGGAGCAGGCCCATTGAACATGGGAATGCCCACCAAGCACTGTTCAATTTCCTTTTCCCTATGACATGGCATTCTCACTTCTGCCCCCTCCTCACCAACTTGGACCCAAATGACTGAGGCCTGAGCCCCCTAGGCCTCCCCAGGGGCCCCTGGGTAAGTGCCAGGTGTTCTGAGGGCTCCTGAAACCAATTGGGGGACTTGGAAACTATCATCAGAGGACCTGGCATGCCTGGGGCCTGCAGGACGTGTGGGGATGGGGGAGGCCAAATTTAGGTAGAGGAATGGAAACTCAGCTGCCCTGAAGGGAGTGTCAGTGTGGCTTCCTGCTCTCCTGGGGCCCTGAACTGCTTTGCCGCCTGGGAGAGAGAGGAGTGACCCAAGCAAACACATGGACCAGCTGTGCAGCCTGCTCTGGGCTGAGCCAGCTCCAGGGTCCAGGTCACAGGCTTTAGCCCACCTCTAGGGCAAAGAGATCTCCTTTCCAGATGGCCCCACAGATCAACCTGGTAGGCTCACCCTGGCCACTACCTCAAAAACTCCAGGACCCAGAGACAGCTGGGTGACCCTAGCGAAGTCACTTTCCCGCTCTGGGCCTCAGTCCCATCACCTGCAGAATAAACGTGAATAGTTTTCATCATGTGCCGTCTCTGCTTACATGGTGGTCACTACCTGCAGCTGTGTTGAGGAGGATTCTGAAGTTGCATTCAGCTCAGTGGATAGGGGTGTTGGGATTGATTGGTGATGCCTGTCGTGGGGGTAGTACTGTGCATGTCAGGGACGCTTAAGGATTGCTCTGACCCTTTGCCAGGCTGGGCCCCAAAAGGGCGGAGCAGAGAGTGAAGGCTGGCCCCCCTTCCCGGAGGCCTGCGGGCAGCAGTCTCTTGTCCAGGGCAGGAGGATGTTCTCACTGACTCGGAGGAAACGGCACATCCCACATCAAAAGGGGGCCCAGGTGGTTCCCACACTCAGGTGTCGTGGGAACCATGCTACCCTGGGTTCTCGCAGGGAGCCTGCAGATTGAGAGGGTCTGGGGCCGCCTTGGGGCTGTCCCCCAGCTCGCTGATAGGTAAATAAAAAACTGCCACACCCCACTCACCACCCTCTTCCCAGGAGCAAGATTGACTTTTTAACCCAGGGCTCTGTGGTTTTGAAGGAGCCACAGAAAGTGTAGGGCAGCTGAGATCTAAAACAATGCCTTAGTCTCAGTAACTGGCATCAGTAGATATTGCAGAGATGCAAAAAATATCCTTTGTCAAACGTTTTTGGAAAACCTGGGTTTACCATCGCTAACCATATTTCCTTGTGCAGGACTTATCAGATTCTTTAATATGCTCATGTATGTTGTGAATTTTCCAAGAGGAAGACTTTGAAGTGTTTCCTAACTTATTGGATCCCAGAATCCTTCTTTCCCAGAACCTTTTATGGGGATTAGTGATTCCTAGAGCAAACTTCGAGAGAGGCTGGACTGACTAAATCACTAAGAGTTGAGTTTCAGGCACAGTGGCCAGTGAAAGGGGGCCGTTGGAACCCAAGTGCTCTCACTGGGGAAGAGACCGGCTGTGGATTGGAGAAAAGATTGTACCAAGTCTAGGGGTTCATTATAACCGGAGTGAGATCCTGGCCACTCCCCACCTTATCACAGAAAGTAGAAATTGAGTTCCCTGGGGGTCATCCTAGATGACTGTGACAAAGTGGTCAGACTGTGCCCGGGAGCAAGAGCCAGAAGGCGAACCAGGGTCCCTTGATGCTTTGGTGTGGGGATTGCAGCTTCTCTTCTCCCGTCAGGGTCCCTGCGCTCCCGGTGAAGAACTTGAACGGTACCGGGCCAGTCCACCCGGCCCTGGCAGGTGAGGTCCCGCTCAGGACTCCAGAGAAGGGTGGGGACCGCGAGGGGGCAACCTCACCTGTGGGCCCCGTGACTCCGCCCCTTAACGAGCTGGTGGGCGGGGCCCAGAGGACGCCCTCTCCCATTGGGCCATGACACAGGGGTGGGCGGGGCCTGCAGAAGGCTCTCCAAGAGGCTTCAGCCTGGAGGGGGCCCCAGGGCACACCCCACGCATCCACCTGAGAACCCCCGGGATCCCTGGACGCAAGCAGGTGGGCGGAGCCTGAGGGAGAGGCCCCAAGCTACACCCAATGACAGGAGGGTGGCAGTGCGCGGTGGGCAGGGCCTGGAGGGAGCCCCGCCCCTGACAGGCCACGCCCCCAGGGATGACCGGGATCCTGCTGTGCGCCGCCGGGCTGCCCGTGTGCTTGACCAGAGCACCCAAACCTATCCTGCACCCGCCGCCCGTGAGCAAGAGCGACGTCAAGCCCGTGCCCGGCGTGCCTGGGGTGTGCCGCAAGACCAAGAAGAAGCACCTCAAGAAGAGTAGGCCTTCCGCGCCCCACCCTCACCCCTGAACTTAACCCCACGACCCCTTGTCCACAATCCCTCTCACCCCTCAGCTCCAGTTTGTTCTTGGGACTTATGACCTCGCCTCCATCTCCTGATCTCAATTCCCGTTTCCCTGAACCCTTCTGCCACCAACTCCAATTGCATCTAACCTGCAGCAACCCCTGAAGTTTAATCCCACCTCTAACCCCTGACTCCATCCTGAGCCGAGGCCTCAGGGGTAGGCTCTGGGTAACCTCAAGCCCATCCCCTTGTGTCCTTGCAGGTAAGAACCCTGAGGATGTGGTTCGGAGGTACATGCAGAAGGTGAAGAACCCGCCTGATGAGGTGAGTCCTGGGGGAGGGGAGGGACCTGGGTGGAGGGCCTTTGGCCTTGCCTGCAGAGAAGAGAGTCCTCCCTCTCCCCTCT